ACAACAAGACTGTTGAAATCAGTTCTTCCAAATCCTTTTATTCTTCTTTGTTGATTCCAGCACTGTGAGGTTATATTTCTAGAGAAGATCTGAATTCTTGTCTAGAAGAACTCCCCAGGAGTTCCCATTCTAGGACTGGTCTTCTTTTGCTGGATGGGTTTAAGATGCCCAGCAGAAGGAAGCAAAGTCTAGAAGACTGTCACTGCCATGTTGCATCAGGAGGAAAGTGAGCCAGGCAGAGATCTGTCAAGTTAATATTTGTTGAATGAAACACTACCTTATTAAATAAGCATTATTAGTGCACAGATATTTGAGACAGAGAAAATTGTGTGCCTAGAAAGATACTTCAGTCCATCTCACCATCTACAAAACCAAAGTGCAAATACCCCACACCGCTGAGCACTCGGCATGGTTTTCTGTTTTGTTTGAGGGTGATCTGTGATCGCCCACGCACCAGCTCACTGTGGAACTAACTCTAGGACCTGGCAAGCTGCTTATCTTCTCTGAGTTTCAGTTTTGTCTATGAAAACAACGCAGTAAAGCAATAGGAGACAAGTGTACCTCAGGATCCCCCATATCCCAGAAAATGTACGGATCAGATGCATCTAGCAATGAAGACAAGGGAGGCTGAACATCTGATCATGAAGCAGGGCCCAGAACTGCCCCACCCAACTTCTGCCCGGCGGATCACGGTGCCTTCCTCCGCCCGCAGGTGACAGAGATTTGCGCTCTGGAAGTCCTCTCGCCTGAGTGTCTAGCTGTGCTGTTGTGGCTGCCCTGACATCCTGAACTGACTCACAGCATCTACCTGTTGTGATCATCTTAACTCTGAGGAAATGCTGGAAGTCAACAGGCCAAATCAGGTGAAGCAGGTGGACGAGGAGTCAGCGTCATGTTTTCATGACCCTGCCTTCCTGCTGGATGGACTCAGGAAGAGCACTCACCACATTTCTGATCTACCTCATAAAGACACTCACGAGAGAAGATTCCAGAACTGCGTCAGAAAGAGCAAGAATGATGGGGTGAGCGTTCCAAGCAGGGGACGGTCCTGAGCGAGATCTACTGCGGTGTGGGTTCTATGGAAGTGAATTCATCGCAGGTGAACGGTCAGCATGTTCTTCCATCGCCCCTGCAGACTGGTCCTCCGGAGACCTCTGAGTGCCACGGTGATGTGGGCACCTTCACAGAGTGGCCCCGCAAGTGAAAATACAACCGAGCCATCCGAGTATAAGAGCCACCAATCCATGTCGGAAGCAACAACAGAGCTGTTGGGCACATTCCAAAGTGAAAGATGGCCTGCCACTCAAAGGTCACAGCTGATGAGGCCTCGGGCCACAGGCAGCATGGGGATGGCGTTGTTCCTGCAGCCACTACCAGTTAACAGCCTCTTCCTGGGGCTGTGCTGCTCTGAAATCCCGTAACTGCCACAGTCACTGTCCCTGCCACAATCTGGTAGACAGAGGCGGGAGCCAAGGCACACTCATTCCACACTGTGCCACTGCAGGAGATGCCTGCATACTGTGGGGACACGCTCCAACCACCTACATTGAGGGGATTTGGTTAGGAGGAGCCACAGCCCAGGTGCTGGACCTGCCACTACCTGGTTGCCTCAGTTTCCCTATCTGTAAAATGGGAACACGGACTGTTCTCCCTTCTTGAAAGGGCTTAAGCACATTTAAGTGATAAAGCAGGCCAGTATGATGGCAAGGAGGTAGGCAGCACTGTGACCCTAGAGCTCGTCACCTCTCTGTGCCCCAAATTCCTTATCTCTGGAATGAAATGATGGCTGTGGGGCTCCTCGGATTGCCTACGCAAGGGTTAAAGGAGCAGATTACAGGCAAAACGTGGGGCTCAGCAAACGCCACTGGTGTAGATGTGAACACACAGCCACTGTCTGCTCTGCGTGTTCCACAGCCGCAGATTCAATCAGCTAAGGATGAAAACATTCAAAACATCCCACGTCCGTTAAGGGGAAGGCACAGGCTCCATCCTGTCAGTGTCTCCTGAGCACCAGAGGATGACACTGTTTATACTGTGGTTATACCGTGCCAGGCATGAGGAGCCCGAAGATGATTCAGAGTATTCAGCAGGACACCTGTGAAGTGGATGCGAATACTACAGTGTCCCAAAGGCACCTGAGGCTGCTCAATGACAGCACCCGGGGGTGTCTTGGGCCCACTCCCACGGATACAGAGGGGAAACTCAGTGTACATGGAAAACCACGGACACACAAAAACAAACAGGAGATGCAGGACTGTTCCCATTAACGTGCTGTCACCCTGATGAAGAAAGAAAAGTTTTAAACCAGTGCCCAGGACAAAAATGCCCCTGGCAAATGCCCTGGGTGGCAGAATCGGCCACTGTCGTGGTGCTGGACTGGACGGCTCTGTCCTCGGCTCAGGACAGGGAAAGGGTGGCCTCTGCAGGGCCAGTTCTCGCCTCACACATGAACCCCAGAGGGGGCCCAGGGCAGGGAGGGCGGCCGGCTGCTCTTCCTGCTCATGGTCATTCTCTCCCTCTCCATATGTTCCTCACCGCCTTGCATGGAAGCTTCCTGGGTGAACAGTGCCTGCAGTGGCGTCACGAGCAGATCTGAGCAGGGACCCAAAAGGATCCAGGCCCCGAGGCGTGGACTGGACAGTACACACTGCCCAGTGTCAACCAGCAGCGGTGGCCAGAACATGAGTGTTCCCAAGCCAGGCTGTCACCATGAAGGGCACTGCACAGTCTGAGATGGCTCTGACCCTGTCTGTTCAGGTTCCTGCCATGGAAGGAGCAGTGACCAAGCTGTACCTCTAGCCACATGCACAGGACCAAGACATCAAGGCGACAGAGAAGACACCATCTGTGTGGGAAGAGGACAACTCGGCAAGCAGCTGTGGACGCCAGGCTGGGAGTCACCTTTCTAATCCTCAAGGGAGCCTGGAAATGCCATTGCTACAGTCTCACAGCGAGAACCACCAGCGAGATGCCCAGCATCTGACAGGAACTGGATAAAGGCTAGAAGGGGCGGGTCTTAATATTCTGATGGCACTTAACACCGATCGCCTTGTAAGTCTGTGAGTCAGACCAGAGACCTAGTCTACACCTTGTCACTGAAGCAGGGGCCTGCAGAGTGACCAGCCTCTAGAGGACCATGGAAAACAACAGAAAGAACAAGATTAAGATGTTATCACTAGTGACAGAATTTATAATGAAGCTGAACAATAGGGAAAGAAACTCAAAGAAATGGAGTCAGGAGAGATACACAGCATCGAAAATTCCCAATGACAAATCCTGAAAGTAACAAAAGCAGAGAGGAGAAAAAGGAAAGAAGAAAGCAGTACTTTACACTTGTCACCAAGAAAACCAAGTGTGGATGAAAAACGATAAAGTCTCCACAGCTACAGGTAGGAAGATACTTATCTCCTTCTACTAAAATGAGGATTTTAGAGCAAAAGGGACCTGGGTCCCTCAGGCAGGTCAGATCTGCACTACAGGGACAGAAGGCTCCTGCCACATAGAGAAGCAATTAGAAGGGAGAGGGGAAAGTTCAGGAGTCTGCTGCACCTCACAAGGCTAAAAATGGAGTTAAACTTTGGTGGGGATGTGAGAAGACACAGATGGGAGAAAATTCCTCCAGGAGCTGAGACAGGAGGATTACAAGCTTGAGCCCACTCTAGACCACTTAACAACTTGACAGGACCACGTCTCAAAAACTGAAAAGAGCTAGGGATGCAGCTCAGTGCAAAGGCCTTGGCTCAACCCCTAGTAGGACGGAAGAAAGGAAGGAAGGGAAGGGGAGGGGACAATCAGAGAAGAGTAGGGCAGAGGAGCTGGACAGGGCTGGGGTGGCCAAGGATGCTGAGGTCCACCCAGAGCTGTGGGATGGGGATAGAGCTGTGAGCGCCCAGTTTTTCCACAGCCGCTGTCACTGTGCTGCCCCCCTCAGCTGGACACTCCTTCCTAACTGCTCCTTCAAGCGAGCTGGCCAGCACACCATCCTCCTCAGCCTGGCACATGCAGCCGGACCCCTTGGGACCAGCACTGAGCCCTCCAATCTCCGCTTAGCGGAGGAGCACAAATGCACAGCTGCAGAGGATGGGCCTCTGCCAGCCCAACCTGCTCTCACTTCTTGACCGACCCCTTCTGTCCCTCTGGGTGACAAACAGGACATGGAGGTGCCCAGCTCCTTTCCAGCTTCCTGTGACAGTTCTGGCTCAGTTGTGCACCCCCAGGGTTCCCTGGTAACGCTGGAACTGGGTGAAGGCATCTGTGGCAGGAGCCCACAGTGACTTCCACTTCTGGCTCAGCCTAAACCATTAGCAGATGACAAGAACCAGGCTCTTGGGGCTGGTGCAGGAAGGTGGCAATCACCTCTCCCTGCCTTTGTCAAGTCCTCGTTTTTAGACAAAGGATAGGCAGGACAGTTGCGTGACTTGGATCCCTTAAGACAGCGGTTCCCAACATCTGGCACCAGGGACAGGTTTCACAGAAGGTGATTTTTCACAGGGAGCAGTGGATTTGGATTTATTCAAAGGAGCCTGCAACCTCGACCCACGCACGCACGGCTCATGGTAGGGTTTGAGCTCCTATGACAATGAGGACCTAAGCTGTGTGGCTCAGTTTGTAACAGGCCATGGGTCCTGGCCTGGGGCTTGGGACCCCAAGGCCCCTGGCTTAGATATCAAACACCTAGCGCACCTGGAAGAGGCCACTGACTTTGCCCAGAGCCAATTCCAGGACTCTCCACCATGCATTTGTGCCCTAGGAAATACCCATTTAAAATTAAAAATAAAAATAAGCCAAGGACAGAGGCAGGAGCCTAAACAGCAGCGACAAGCATGGTTCGAGGCACCCACTCCCCAACACACTCACCCAACAGAGACATAGAGGAGGGGCCCCACCTGGAGGATCACAGGTTTCAGGGTACAGAGTTTGGGCAGCTTTGTGCCACTGAGCACAGTTGCTGCCACCCTGCTGGGCAAAGGACCCCCAGTGACGCACGCGGAGGCACCCACCTTCTCTGCCAGGTCAGCGAGGTGCTGCTCCTCGAAGAGGCGGAGCTTGTCCTCCGTGCACTTCTTCAGGAGCTCTGCCTTGCTTTTGCTCTTGGACCTGGGCTTTCTGGCCTTGGTCTGCAGGGAGGGAGGAGCCGAGGCACACGCTGGTGAGGAGGAGGCCACCAAGGGATCACACAGCCCACGGGCCTGTGGGCCTACGAAACTCTGCCTCAGTCTTAGAGGGATGTGGACACAGTGGCTCAGAGGAGGGTTATTTTAGGTGGACGCTCAGGAAGGGCTTCTCTGTGGTGGTGAACTGAGTGGAGGCATGGAAAGATGACAGATCACATTGTTGACAGAGGGAACACAAGTGCAAAGGCACTGTCCCGGGGGGGCTCCCAAAGCAGAGCCTCAGCCTGGAGCTGTACATGGCTTCCTAAGAGAAGCTTCGTTGGAGAACAAGGTGCCAAGCCAGGAAGGGACAGAGCCAAGCAGGGCTGGGACTTGAGTCAAATCCAGGCCAGACTGGCCTGTGGGGTCCTGGAGCACATCACAGGGGCTAAGGTGCAGCTGTCATCCTGTGAGACCCAGAGCGAAAGGCACCTTGGGCTGAGGGGAGTACCCTCGTCTGTGCCACTTAGAGGGCTCTGACCCCAGCAGTCACTGGCTGTGGCTAAGGGTGGGTGGAGAAGCAAAGGTGACATTTCAGGCATAGGCGTCTCAGGCTATGACCTGAGTGCAGCTGGTTGACATGGCCAGCCCAGGTCAGGGCATCTGGCTGTGACACCAGAAGTGTTAGCTCTGGACCTTCTGGCCAGGCCAAGGGAGCCGCAGGGAGCACCAGGCCCCCCACGGCTGCAGAGGAGGGAATAGGGGAGAGAGAGGAGCACACTCGGGGTACGTGAGGACACGGGACCCTTTGGGGTCCTGAGCTGGGGGCACCGTGAGGCACCTCTCCTACCTGTAGCTCGGGGGCAGCCAGCACCTGGTCCAGTTTCAGGAGCTCTGCTTCCCGCCAGGCAGTCTGGAACCGGTGCAGCAGGACTCGGGCCCGCACCTTGGGGAGAGCCAAGCTCCTGTCCATCTGGGCGAAGCAGCTGTGGACTTCTTGCCTCGATGCCAGCAGCTCCTCCTCAGACAGTGAGAAGGTGGCGTTACAGAGCCTCCTGAGGAGGACAGACAGAAAGCATCCATTCCCATCTGTGATTCAGTCCACAAGGAAGTCGTGAGTGCCTACTGCATACCATGCTGATGCAGAGCTTCGTGACATGAGCCCAGGAGGTCTCTGAGAGACAGTTGTGTCTCAGTGTTGATGACCTTGAGATGACCTAGCCTCACTTTACTGACAGAACAGGAGCAGCACTTGCCTCAGCTCAGGTTGGGCAAAGTGGGGCTTTTGCTTCAGGGGAGTCCGTGGATGATGCACTGCGATGAAGTGCACGGTGTCCCCCAAGTCCTGCCCCTGCTCCCCGTGAATGTGCCCTTACTCGGTAGCAGGTCTTTGCAGCTGGAAGATGTTCAGACAAGGTCACCCTAGGGTAGAGTAGGCTCCGCGCCCTATATGCAGGGTATCCTTCCAACACGAGCAGAGACAAACACCTAGCACGAAGGCCATGTGTCTACCAAGGCCGAGATCAGAAGGATGTGTCCACCAGCCGAGGACTGCCAACCACTGCCCATACCACAGAGGCCAAGAGAAAGGCATGGGCAGACTCTTCTCCCCTGGAACTTTCGGAGGTCATGTGACCTGCACCCCAGGGTTCCAGCCACCAGCACCATGCAGGAATACATTTCTGAAATTCCCATCACCCAGGGTGTGGAGCTCGGTTACAGCAGCACTCAGGTCCGTGGCACTAACCTGCATCACTGCGGACCCCTCCCCTGACCCAGCCCTCGGCTTACACTCTTTGCTCTGCCTCCCTGGCATAGCCCACTCTCTACTCCAAGGGGCAGAACAGCCATGCGCTCGTGTGCCCTGCCTCAGTGCCCACTTCTGGCCAGTGAGGTGGGGTGGGAATGGATTCTGGAATGGGGTTTCTTCCTCGGCTCCAGAGTCATGTTCTCTGCCCCTCCCTTTGGAGAAGTGTGTGTTCATGCATTCACTCAACAAATATTCTCTGGAGATAAACACGGATGCACCTGGTTATTCTGTCACCAAGGTTGCAGAAAGGATGCTCTGTGGATGCTTCAGCTTCAGGAACATTCATAGAACAATGGCCACAGGAAGCGAGGGCAAGGCTCGCCCAGCCCAAATTCCACCTGAGGACTTGGGGCTGTGGCTCAGCTAGAAAAGCATGGGGACTTTCAGGGGTGATGCAGGCGTTCACTTAAACAAGAGTCTGCAGGCCCCAAGGCCACATCACTGGACCCCTGTCCAGGGGTCCTCCCTCCAAGAGACCCCGATGTTTACAGCTTCTCCAGCCTCACGGATGGTTACACGGATTCTAAAGCAACAGCAGCTCTGAAGTACGTTTAAGCCACTCTCCTTGCCCCACTTCTAGCACAGGGAGGGGGCGCTTTTAGAGCTCTCAATGACACCAACAGCCCACCACAGCACTCACACCATAGGTTCACCACCACTGTTCCCGCAGACTGGGCCTTGGGCTTGTCCAGCCCACTGCCCTGCAGCACTAAGAGAATACGGGGATGCACAGGGCAGGGTCTCTGCCCCGACGGCATTTAAAAGCAGGGCAGGAGCGCAGGAAAGCAGTCCCGAGACGCACTCTTCCTCGCATACCTACTGCTCCCTAATAACGTCTATGCTCATTGACCAGAAGTCTACAGACCCCTCGATTACCACTGGAAACCTACAGAAGTGCACTGCAAACTCTGGTGCAGAGCCACTTTTACCCAACGCCTCAGAAATAAAGGCTGCGACCCTTTGGGGTCCTAAGCAGAGCAGGGAAGTAGCTGACGCTGTAGGTGCTGCGGGCTGATCCTCTTTAGCACTGAGAAAAACTGAACAGGGCTCCTAAGAGCCAAACGAGATTTCTGTTCTCTCACGGAATGGCTAACTCAGTGGTGGCTTTAGCAATGCTGCCTGCAGAGCAAATCCAAAGGAGGCTGAGAAAATGATCACCAGCAATGGGAATGTCAGATTGCATTCAGACCGACAGAGTGCAAAGCCAGTCAGAGCTGTAAAGATCTCGGGTTGCACAGTGAACTGAACAGCAACCGTGGAGCACAGGCCGGGGGCACGGGGGTCTCACGGGCTGGGGAGAGGCAGCACCATGTTTCCCTTGTTGAGAAAGCAGACACCAACCCAGGCTGGGAAACAAATGAGGCCAGGGCTAGCGGTCACTTAACGCAGATGGGGGCGACATTAGCCTGTAGGACATGGGGGACCTGTTCTCCTGGCCTAGGGAGGTGCGGGCCTGGGAAAAGAACATGCCGGAAGGAAGGTACCACATCATGGAGGGGAGCACCATCATGGTCCCGGGCCTCGAAGGAAGATACCCTGCCACCCAGCACCTAACCAGGGTGCCCTCGCAGATTGCAGGCTCCTACGGAAACACCGTCTTGCCCATTTCACCTGGTAATTCCACGCCCTGCTAAAAGCACCCAAAGGACTCAGCCTCACCTTTATTTTACAGGCTAGAAAGAAGGGGCTCAGAGAGAGGCAGCAACTTGGCATTTAAATCCTTGCCGTTTGTCTACACTGCCCCCTCTCAGTCCACATCCGGGGCTCCTGCACTTTCCGCTCTGAAGAGCTGGCCCCAGACAAGCTCCCAACGCTTCTCTGGTCTGCATGACACACTAAGGCCCCTTCCTGGGCCAAGCCAAACTTCAGTCTGGGAAGTGGACTGCTCTCAGACAGGGGCCCCCCAGAATCTGAGTTCAGCCTGCATTCTCTGCATCCCGGGCTCCCCCACGTCAAACACAGGTTCCCAGGCTTTGATCTTTGGTTGCCGGTTACTGCATGGCAGGGTCGGCTGCTGTGGTGGGGTGGTTTACACCCTGGTGTCCCCTGAAAGCCTCATGCGATCACAGCGGGGGACCTTTGGAAGGTGATGGGGCTCAGGGCTGACATGCTATTAGGAGGTGGGAGGCAGCGGGTCACCGCAGCTGTGAACCACAGGTTCTAGATCCCTTCCTACCCCATCCCTCCCCTCTCTGCTTCCTGGACATGGTGAGGCGAGTGGCTCTCCTCCTCCTGGCCTCCACCATGTCCTCCTGCCTCACAGCTGGCTGACCACGACTGAAACTTCCAGTCAAAATAACCCCCACCCTGGGCTAAGGATATAGCTCAGCTACATAAGCACCTGCCTAGCAGGTGCAAGGTCCAGAGTTGGACTCCTAGTACCCCCCAAATAAATAAATAACCCCCCCTTTAAATCATGGACCTCAGCGATGAGAACATGACTAAGACACGTGGTCTACAACATGCTGCTCAGGAGTGGAAGTCATTGCAAGGCTCTTGTATTAATACGTTAGTGATGAAAATAAATGCCCGAACAGTGACATGGTGAGTGACAGAGCCAGGTGAAAAGAGGACGTGGTGTGGTGTGGGAACTGAGGTGGTGGCCCAAGGTCACCTGCTTCCTGGACATTGGGTGGGACAGGAAGGCCCGGATGGCCTCCTTGGAGGCCCCTCCCCTCCCCCTGCAAGGTTGTCCCCAAGTGACACCTTCTATGGCAGGGACCAGGTGCAGTTCTTGCTTCTCCCTGAATAGTGGGTTCCAGTGCCCCCCAGCCACCGAGTCATTCAGACCGGACAATACACTGCCTGTCACTGTGCAGCCCTGTCCCCAGCCCTGCTGTCCACTCTTCCACTTTGCACAGTCAGGGTCACGGACTCGGCCATCCCTGTCCCCCCAGGGGCACAGCAGGGCCACTCACCTGAAGACCAGTTGCTCCCAGCGCCTCAGCTCTGCCTGCTCCTGAGTGGCAGCCTCCAAGGCATCGTCCCGCAGCCTCCGCCTCACGCCCTCCACACCCTCCTGGCCCCGCGCCCGCTCCTCAGCCTCTAGCTGCTCAGTCCGTGCCGCCAGCTCCCGGGCCTGCTCCTCCAGGATCTGCTGCAGGAAGAGCCAGGGAACGCTGCGCTTGAGCAGCTCCTGGGTCATTGCTGAGCTCTGCAGGCGACGCAGCTCCTCGGTGGCTTTCTCAGACAGCAGCAGGGTCAGGGCCCGGACATCATCAAGGGCCGCCTGGTCTAGGGTCTCCTGCAGCTCCTCCAGGGAGGCACTGTGCTCGGCCACCATGCTCCTCCACTGCTGCAGGTACTGGCCAGCATCCCCAGCAGCTCGGGATGCCTCAGCCATGGACAGCTGCTCCTTTCGCTGCTCCCGGTGCTGCAGGAGTCCAGGTAAGGACAGTTACTCGGGGGAGGGGAGAACTTGGGAGGTCTTACAGGCTTTCCCCCAACAAGCTCCTACTAGAAAAATCATTCTTAAGTAAACCACAGTGAGGCAGGAGGATCCTAAGTTCAAGCCTGGCCTGCTCTGAGCAACTCAGCAACTTAGACCCTGTCTCAGAAATTAAACATAATTAAAAGGCTGAGAACACAGCTCAGTGCAAAAGCCCTGCGATTGAGCCCCAGTATTACCAAAAATAAAAAATTAAATTTGAAAAATGACTCGAACTCACGATGGTAAAAATTTCACATCTGATGTGCAAAGAGTGTGCACTGACAGGACAGGAGAAGCCCCAGGGGTGGTCACCTGTCTTCTAGGCCTGGCTCCTCCATTCACACCTGAGTGTCCGTGCCTCGGCCTCCCAACCTGTAAAGCTAGTGGCAGGACCAGCACCACAGAGCAGTTGTGAGGATTCCACATGTTGCTTGCTGAATGCACAGTGCTTAGCAAGTGCCCAGTGCGGAGCTCGCAGCCACTGTGTCTGCCGTGACTACTATGGCGTGCCAGGCTCGGGCACTGCAAACTGCGCTATTACTCGGATCTTAGCCAAGCTAAAGAAGGGCGGGAGAAAGAGAAGGTGCAAAAAAGGCTCCATGGAGGGGAAATCTGACGTGCATAAAAGATGTGCATCACAGTGTCATTTATAACAGTGGCCCACAGACTTGGATCTATTCCCCAAGAACACAAGATGGTCTTCATTTTATTCATGGGTCCTGCTCGCCGAAGTGTACATTCACTCATTGCCAAAATATTTATTAGGACAAATATGTATTGACTGCAAGTGTCAGACAGTGTCCTCGGAATTAGGGGCACAACATAAAGTTCTGAGTTCATAAAGCTAAGTGCTCATTCTGGGCCACTTACAGTATTTTTCAAAAGGAACTGCAAGAAATAGTATTCGCTGGAGGTTGCCAGCATATCTCATAAGAGCTGGGGTCCATCCCTCCTGGGCCAGGCCATGAAGGGTCTGTGGACCTGGTCCCCCCTTTCTGGGTCCTCAGCCAGGCTCTGAGAGAGGGAAGAGGTGGCACTCAGCATGGGAAACTCCTCCACGATCAGGGTCAGAACCACGCTTCCCAATGGACTCAAGCATGGTAATAAAAAGTAGTTCCTCTTCATGATTGATGCCAGAAATCTGGTCCATCCATGGAGGTTGGAAGGTTTCAGCCAGCTACCCACATAATGCCCGTATGACCCACGCAGCCTCTGACCCTGGCCACGTGCTGGAGTCCATCATGCTCTATCTCTCCAGGCTCCTCCAGCTCCACTCAACCGCTGCTCGCACCAGCTTCCCGAGTCAGCTTCACAAGTCTGACACTGATTTTGCTCCCCAAAGCCATCTCCGTTCCCTGCCATCCTCCAGTGAAGGGTGAGCCCTCAGCCTGGCATGCTGAGCCTCCTCACTGCCACGAGGGCACCTCCCAGAGCTCCTCTCCTGTCCCAGCCCCACCCCTGGGCACACTCCACCCTCCTCAGGGGTTCACAGTTCTGGAACTCAAGTGTCTTCATTATGTTTTGTCCCTCACTGGGTGATGTAAAGAGTAAAACAAGTATCTTGTATAAGGTACCTAGTGCACGCTACTAACCACTCAATAGCTGTCAGTACCTGCTCTCATCCTCCTCTCTGACTCCAATTCCCCTGCTCAGGCAGACATTACCAATCTGCTGCAAGCCTGCACAATGCTTTCAGATGCAGCATTCCAAAAAGTCACTACCAATCAACTGCAGATGGGGAACCATGAGGTCTGTCAAGCTGCCTCGTAATCCTAGTGTGCTGATGGCCAGGCCTGGCATGGAACCCGCCCTCACTAGGTGCTGGGAAAGGGTAATGCAAAGAAGAAACAGCGCAATGACTTATGTACACAAACCTTTTGGAGTAACTCCCGTCTTCTCTTCATGACTAATTTTTGGTGCAGTTTTTTCTTTTCCTGCTTTAAGTCATTGTCCAACTTCTGTTTTACAGAAAAGACTTCCATCTGAACACGCTCCAGTAGCATCTCCATTTGATCTTCATCCAAGTACCCCGCTCTAGATGGGAAAGACTAGAAGTTAACGAACATGGGCTCCAAAGCCCCTCTGGCTTGACTGAAGTTGTGGCTGAACATCTATCTCCATGCCTGTCCGGACTGAAGCAGAAAACCCCGCATCCTCCAGAAAGGGGAGGAGCATGGGCTGATCAAGGAAGACACTGGCAGAGTAAGGGCAGTGTCCTAAGAGATGGTGGAGCAGGCAGGACAGGGTGACCCCTAGGCCAAGGCTTCCGGGAGGAGGAGACATCTGAGGGATCCAGTGAGGTACGGAGAGATTCTCCAAGAGAAGTGATGGCCCAGCGATGCCGGTGTCAGGAGTGGCACAAAGCCAGCCAAGGAGGTAAATGCAGGACTGTCCTGTACGACACCCCATGACACAGACCAGAGCCCCATGATTGCCAGGATGCCTGTGGCAATGTTTTCAGTTGATGTGAAGCATGGGACACATGCTATGGTCTGCCTGCCCCTCCAAGGCCCATGCTGCCATTCAGCTGCCATGGTGAAGGTATTAAGTAGTGAGGCCAAAACCCAAGACGATAAGGTTAGGGCTGTTACCACGGGGCGGGGCGGGGAGGGGTGCTCCTGAGAAGAAGAGGATGGTAGAGAGGAAGGAGGCACTGGCCCTTTCTTTTCGCCACACAGTGAGGGGTTCTGTATCTTCTCCTGCCCTCAGGCTGGGATTCATATCATCAGCTACCTGAGTTCTCAAGCCTTGGACCTGGACTCAGCTTCTCTGGATTTCCAGCTGTGAGAAAGAAAATGGTGAGACTTCCGGCCTGCCCAGTGACGGGAGCCAGTGCCTACACTACATCTCCTCAGGCTGCCCAGGAGGCTCTGACTCTCTGAGAGCTCTGACTGATGCACTCTGCGCTCATCACCACAGCTGCCCTCGGTCCGTCTGCACCCCTGGGCTGGGTCCCGAGATTGGCACAGGGCAGACTCCCCACAGAGGCCTCCTGAAGCAGTGAACAGGGAAAGAATGGGTACATGTGTTAGAAATACGAGCTGGTGCCAGCCCTTTGAAATAGAATATAAAACTAAGTGACTATACAGCTTTCTGGCCACGGCTCACCATGCGCAAGCAGCTGTGGGCTTCTTAGTTTCAAGGCTAGGAACTGTTCCTTTAACTTGTGAATTAATCAGCAATGTCACATAAACTGCAGTGATGAATTCATTAGCATCTCGAGGTGGGGAGTGTTGATGGGATTTTCACCTTAAAGAATCCTCATTCAGCAGTGCAGGAAGCGGCAGCATCTTAATAAAATTGCCTGAGTTGTAGAATCACTTCACGAAACCACAGACAATCCTAAGAAAGCCATCTTTAGAGTCAGGGCCCAGTTCATTTGATGGTTTCTTGTAATCTACTGCTTACAAGTGAGCTATCTCACGGACAGCTGAGCAGAAGCCCTTCGGCGAGGGGGGAGACTGCACTGCCTTCTCACTGCCACCGGATGGCTGACACCCCCACGAGGAGCGGGAACCTTCTGCATTGTTGGTGGAAATGTGAACTAGTAGAACCTCTGTGGAACTCAGTATAGAGAAGATTCCTCATGAAATAAAAATAGAAATGCCACTGGACCCAGCTATACCTCTGCTGGGTAAGATCCTGAAAGAGTTAAAGTCATCAAATCACAGTAACACATGTGTATCCAGGCTCCCAGAAGCACAATTCATCATAGCTGAGTCTTGGAAGCAGCCTAGACACCCGTCCCCGGATGGATGGATAAAGACAGAGTTGAGTCTACCATTATGAAGGAGGATGAATCTGAATCATTCACAGGAAGAAGATGCATCCTGAGACCGCAGTGCTAAGTGAAACAGACCGGACAGCAAAGGGTAAGTATTTCACGATTTCTGTTTTACAAGAAATGCAAAATGTAAGAAATTTAAAAATCAAAATAAAAGCGATGATGGGAAACAGGGAAACAGAATCTGTGGTGAGAGGAAGGAAATCTGAGGAGGGGCAGCAAAAGGGGGCTGAGATGGGAAGGAGAAATAAAAATGACTGGGCGGGGATATGGCTTAGTGGCACAAGCCTGCCTGGCAAGCGCAAGGTCCTGAGTTCGATTCCCAGGACAAAAAAAGAGAAAGAAACAAAGAACAATAATTAAGATGCAGTGTGTGTATGTGCCCTCCCCAAGGTGAGTGCATTATTATGTGTCACACACATATACCAGTAAACACACACACACACACACAACTGTTTTTAATTTAAAAAAGAAAACCAACTGAACCCCATACAAGAATCGCTGTAGCTTTATATTTAATGCAAAGGCAAATGCTACAGCCAGCATGTTCTGCAGCCCAAGAGAAGTGGGCATTCCCAGGGCATAGTCAGTGCCAGCCCCCACCATGGCAGAAAATGCCACTGGAAAACTGCTGCAAAATAATCCAGGATTATTACGATGTGTGCAATTACACTATAAGTGGCTACAAGCTGGGACCTGCTCAAGCTGGATGGTGGCATGCAGTCACCCTGATGACTGACCACGCCCACCTGCCACTATTTCGGTGGTTGGCTGCTTGATCGTTCGTCTGTTGAGACAGGTCTCACTATGTAGTTCAGTCCTTGAACTCACTATACAGCCCAGGCTGGCCTTGAACTTACCACGGTTCTCCTGCCTTGATCTCCTGGATGCTGGGATTCTAGGTGTAAAACTCTGGAGCTGGGGAATCCCTTTAAAGAACAGAGCCAGAGCAGCCCACACATACAGAGGGCAACCGGCACCAGCTGGTCCTGGCAGGGAACGTGCAGCAGAGCTGTGTCGGAGCTGACCTCGGCCTTACCTCTCATGTTTCTGGATGAGGTGCGTCAGCTGCGTGGCCGCAGTGTTCAGGATGCCCTGCACGCGGGTCTCTGTGGACTGCAGGTTCTGGACCAAGTACTCCCGGTGACCAAACCTTTTACTTAAGTGGTACCGCTTAGTAGCCTGGAAGAAGTCCATTAACTCTTCCATGTGCTCCTGTTAAAAATTTTTATTCAAAATATGTTTGCTAGTTTAAAAAAAAAATCTCTGTAAGCTTTTGAACTATTAAATTTCTATGCTGAAGGAAAATCACAGGCATGGAAGCTGCGGGATTAATACCTTTAACCTCCCTGCTCACACCAAAGGCTCCAAAGAAAATCACATGCAAATGAGAGGAACACTTTGAAAAGCAAACACGGAATCCACATGAAAGAAATCCTGCCCACCAAACAGGATGCCTGGGGAGTTCCCACCTGCCATATGAGGAAGGTGACACTGGGGTGGGGGGGGGATTGGCCCCTGTTCCAATCTCTGCAGGAAACAAGACAAGCACAGTTCAGAGTGGCAAGAAGTCCCCTTCCCCCTGTGCCATGAACCAAACCAGGCCAAGAGCTGACACCAGGCCAAGGGCAGTTGTGCCTCTTCTGTCCTCTTCTAGGCCAAGAGCATGCACATGCCCATTCCATAGATTAGGAAACTGAGTCTGCATCGCAGAGCTGATAAATGGCTGTGCAGGGATTAGAAGTCGACAAGCTGCTGCCCGGGCCTGAGATTTGACACCATCATGAGCTGCCTCTGCATGGGAGGCTATCGTGCCACCCAGGTGGTCTTGCCCCATAGGTGATTGCTGTATTTCCTTCATCATCTATGGAAACACTGTCCCTTATGGAGCACCAAAAGGACCATGGTTAACAGTGAGAGCCTTACGATGCCCGGACATTCTCCTTTCTACCTAACAGCGTGACATCTCTAGTACTGACACTCAAGGGTTAGCGCCACTGAGCCAAGAAAGGCCAGATATGGCTCCAAAGCCACGCTTCCTGGGGGCTTCCTGCACCAGGACCAGCAAGTTAGGATGCAGCAGGGACAGATAAGGATGCACAAGCCAGTCCACCACACAAGGAACTCAGAGTGGGACCCAAGTACTCTGACGAGGTCAGGGAAGTGGTACCACTGTCACTTTATTTAACACAATACTAGGACAGCGGTTCCTGGAGACTCGTCATTAATTGCTTCCAGGAAGACACAACAAGCAGCAAAAACAGCAAACACCACACAAATCATTTGGGCTGCAAAGGACCACGAGCCATGAGGTTCTCAACATCCTCAGTGTCCCGCTTGAGCTTGGGGTTCTAAAAAAAAAGGAGATCTCATGTCCAAATACACACTGCTCTGTCTCAGCTCCACAAGCTGGGTCCCTGCTAGGACCATGAATGTGGCATCAGTCACACTGTCCCAGGAGGACACGTACTGGCCGGGTGAATGCTCAGTGCAGCGGCCTCTCTGCTGGGGCCTGCGCACGCACGTGTGCAAGGAAGTGCACTCCACACCTCGTCCAGCTGGTCCTCACTCCTCATAATCAACTTGCCACCTTGCACACACCCTGCTTCAGCTGGCTGGAAGCAGTTATTCTCACACGCTGAACCTGCCCCCTGAAAGAATACAGCGAATCTCACAGGGAAGCGAGCCAGCCGGCCTTCGGGGAAGCCGTCGTTTATGAAGCAAAAGCCAAAATCACGTGAGAGCGCACAGGAGGGCCACAGAGCAAGTGAAAACACTAACCCTGCAGACATGAGTGCCAAGTAGCAGCCTGGGTCCTCAGCATCCCCTGAGGGCCTCTGCTGCCATACTTACTCACTGGCTCACCCGCCAGGGCAGGGGTGATATCTACATCCCCCAAATGCCCAACTCACTGTCAGAACACAGAATTTCCACGGCAAAGTAGGAATTTGTTTCTCATGAGCACCATATTACCTGGAGCACACTGAACGCCCCATCCAGCCAAACGGTGCAGGGCACTCTTGCACACCAGTGATTCCAGTGTGTGTGCACATGCAGATGACCCATAAGAAATTTCAAAGCAATGCCGACTCTGAAAAACTACCTGCATCACCAGCTAGGGATTTGTTCAGTATGGGTCAAAAATATTCACACTAAGTTCATGCGGAAAAGTAGATACGAAGTGCCCCAAGCATATGTAGATGGGATCCTAAGCCCAAGGTCTGCACACCAATGTGCACACACATATATGTGCATATTTATTTATATCACCGCACACATTAAAAACATCTTGCACCGAACACTGGCTTTCCGTGGATGTGCCTATTAAATTCATCACACCTCCGTGCATACTTCCCAACAGAGGAAACTAAAGCTCAGAGAAGTTGGGGGACTCGCTCAGGTTCACCGCTGACCTGAGTGGAACAGAATCCAATTCAGGTCCGCCATGCCCTCATTTGCCTGTGTGCTAGAAGCAGCCCCACATCAGGAGGTTGGAGGAGAGGAAGTGAGCTCTGTGCTACCACAGGAAAGGAGAGGCAGCCAGCCCCAGGAGAGGAGTGAATTCCTCCAGGCACTTACAAAACCACTCCACCATCACGGCAGCCTGGGAGAGGGAATTACCTGCAGTTTCGAATAATCTTGCAGCAGCGTTTTAGCTGCCTCTGGCTTCAGCTCCCCTTTGAAAATAGCATTTTTTATTTGGGCAAAAAAGATGCCATGCAATTCGGTTCTCTGGAAAACAGCGAGCTGCCTGTGAGCCTGGGCAAAGTCCTCCTCCTGGTGCAAAGCCAAGGACTTCCACACGTGCTCCTGCTCCAGGCCATGCAGGGTCCGCAGGAGGCTGCTGCACTCCGCAGCGGACTGTAGAGAGAAGAGGCAGCTTGTGAGAGACAGACACGCTGAGAGTGAGAATATACACACACTGGCCACATGTGCACACGCACACGCACAGACCACATGAACACTCATGCAACTGAAGGACATCCCATTCAAAATGTTCAGTGTCTCCAGTGCATAATGTACAATGGATAAGTGTAGGTGATGTGTAAGTGCACTTGTGTATATATGCACACATGCACAACCATCCACATACACACACACTCAGCTACATACACCCTCGAGTAGACACATGCATATTTGTGTAGACATGGTATACACACACACATCCACACGATGCGCGCACACAAGGATACAGATGCCCACAGGCACAGAGCACACTGGCATGGAGCACATACGTGCATTGCACACACACACACACATCCAAAGCTGCAATGGTCAGGCTGCCAAGCCTGGGAAGACGCCATTCCCAGCTGTCCCCCAGCCCTGCTGTTATCTGAATCTTTCCCCTGAACAATCACAAAGCAGAAAATTCACCAAGGTGGGAATCTGCAAATCAAACTGCCTGAAAAAAGCCTACAAAAAAATGGAAATCTCTCTTAAGTATCCATCGGTCACACAGTTAGCCACACAATTATTTCTATCCTCTTTCATCCTCAGCTCGCTGAAGATAAAAACAGCAGCAATCAAGTCCAAGTTGGGATCCCTGGGTAGAAAGAGGTGTGAGGCGCTGAGCGTACCAGGCAGGCAGCCTGTGTGTTAAGCAGCTCAGAGTAAGGACAGAAAGAGACATTTTCCCTGCTCAGCTCCCCAGGAGGCCATGTCGTGTGGGGAGGCAGGATCCGAGGAGACCCCAGGATTCCCGCCCTGCCCTGGTGAGCAATGGTGGCAGTTCCCTCCCTTCCTGGAGCGCAGGTATAAACTTGAATCTGGTGTGATAGGATATGATATCACGTTGTTCTTTGATTAGGTTATACTGCAGGGCAAGGGAAGGCCTCCTATCAGTGTGATTAGGGCCCCAGTCAGCTGACTCCAAGTCACGGGGGGCGGGGGGAGGCACCCCACCATTAATGCTTCAGCTCAGCTATTGAGTAATAGCTACAGAAAGTCTTTTACTGAGGCTGGATTTATAGAAACAATTGGGTTGCAGTTTCTGAGCCACACTGTTGCAGAGAATTGGCATTTTTTTTTTTTTTTATTTAAGAGGAAAAAGAGAAAAACACAAAACAAAACAAAGCAGTGTAAGGTTACACATAATACATAACTACAAAAGAAAACATAACAGTAAGAAATCACCTGTTAATAGATTACATAATATCATCTTGGAAATAGTTGCTCAAATCACAGTATCAAAGAATACAAAGTAGACATTCAAACGGAGAGACTGCAAACAGCTGTGTTCAATGATCCAAAAACATTAATATAGTCAGCTATTTAACATCCCTAAACACACTTGTTGTTATATCCGTTAGAGCTCTTTTTTTTTTCCCCTCCCTCTCTTTTTTATAACAAAATTTATACATTTTGGATTTTATTACTCCTCAGTTCTCATTACTCTCTTGGGGGGGAGAGAATAAAGTCAAATATGGCAAAACAAAGCTGTAAGTCCAAACCAAGGATAGACATAGCACATGATGTAGAACAGAGTACAAGGTCATCAACAATGGTTATCAACATTGTCTCTTGTTTCCTTAAAAGGAATTGTCCATCTCATTAGATATTATAAAGCCGGACAAAACAGTGGAGAACAAGACCAATAAAACTTAGGCATTGTGAACATTACAGGACTTCCAAAGGAGACAATAGTCAAACCAGAATGGGCATCTTTGTGAATCTTATTGCCTTCAAATTAGTTGCCTATACCTTCAAACTTGCTACTATCGCACAGAATGGAACAGAGTCTAATCAGTCAAAACAAGATCTTGGGAGTATTACAGGACTTCAAAACAAGTTAATAGGAGATCAAAAAGAGTTACTACTATATATCCTAATTTTTTAAGTTTTTCCCTTAATTAAAATAAACATAAGAAATAGCTAAATAATTTTTTTTAAAGAATAGTAGTTACCATAGTGTCTGTCTTTTTCCTTAAAATATTTGGATAAAACTTCATATACTATAGCTTCAAATATTTCCATATCAAAAAGCCCAGTGAAGCCTTATAGAATTGGCATTTATTTACAGCCAGCTTGATCTGAAGGGAAGAGAGCACTTCACCAACAGCCACAAGGGTTAGAGCCCTATCTGACTGCAGCTGAGGAGCTGCACATCGGCCCCCAAGTGACCTTTCTCTGCCATCCTGAATGTGACATGCTCAAACTTCAATTTATTTTAATGATTAGGACTAAAGATGGAGTAAAACCTGTTTCATTTCTTATGGTCAAGACAAAAATCACAGATACACAAAGATACGCACACACAAATCCTAAAATAAAATTTTCTGTCCTTATTCATCATTGTATTTCTGCTAAAAGATACTGCGTGAGGCAGCGAAACATCTGTGCTTTGTGTCTGAGTGAGATGCTCCCTAGAGAACCCAGGACAGGACCTGCTGTGTCAGTTTCCAAATAGCATCCTTGGAAGAGGAGCCCTGAAGAGATGTGCCAACCGTGGCCTTGGCACACCATGCAGCGACGCCAGAGCCCCAGGCCCCAGGCAGAGAGGCCACAGGGAGCAGGGCAGGCTGCCTGGTGTGCAAGAGACCAAGCAGGTGACTAGAACAAAGCGCAGACAGCAAGGCAGCCAGTTACCCTGGCAAGGGAGGCCCTTCGAGAACAAGGGTCCCCTTCTCCCAAAGAAGCAGGCCATCAGGATTTGCAACAAAACCTTTCTACTTTAAAAAACAGTCCCATGTGCACTTCTGAAGCAAAGCTAAAACAATGACCCTGACCCCCAGCTCCCCACTGGAGTCTCTGGGGGGGGGGGGAGGTGTGGGCGGGCAGGGCGGGGGCAAGGCGGGGTGGGGAGGGCACTCCCATGCTGGTCTGAGAGCGGGCTGCCTTCCCAGGGCAACTGCTACGCGGAATGCTGACTCTGCACCTTGGAAAACGGGAAACCATGCCGGGACGTTATGACTGTGCTAAATTATGCTCCTTGTGCTCAATTTAGCAAGACAGGCAAATTGTAAAACTGTTTTATAAAAATAAATCCATCAGAGTCAGTTAAAAGGGAAGAGCTCCTAAGCCTCAGGCATCTCCCTTTAAGTTGCTCATGAGTGATTCAAGAGACCCCCAGGCAGCCTGCGTGGGATGCAGGCCCAGCCTCAGTCCACTGGACAGGGATCCACAGGAAGCACTGCCCAACACACCGACACACCGGCAGAGGCTACAGGAAGCCAGGCTGCCAGGCCCGGCCTGAATGGGTCTCAGGTTCCCACCTCCAAATGCAAACAGGTCACATCCTCGGCACTACATCCCACACTTTAAAAAAAATGATATGAAATTCTGAATCCCAGCAAACATCTGACAAGGCCAATGCTGTTTCCCAGCACTGGCAATCTTGCCTTCTGAAATTCAGCTGATTCAGAAAAGCATAAGACGTGAACATGCCAATGGGGTGCTGTGGGGTATCACTAAGCGCGTAAATGTTAAGTGTTAATCAGATTAAATCAGTCTGTCTCTTCAGTTGTTTGTGAGGGTGACAACACTCAGGATCCTTCCTTATAGCTCTGTAAGACAGTCGGTCCGCATTCACCTTGCAACCAGCCTACTGGGCAGCAGCACCAGAGCCCCACCCCACCCTGCTCCTGCGCCTGGAACTTAGCCCCTTTGGCAGCCTCTCCCACCCAGCTAAAGCTCCTCACAAACACTAACTTACTCCTGAGACAGGAATCATCACCAGCCCCCTTTCAGGAGAGGGGAGGAGACTGAGGAGACCCACCTTGTGCCTTTTTAAGCATGCAGGGGCAATGCAAGCCCAAGCAACGGCTCCCAAGTCAGTATCCTCATGGCTGGCTCAGGGCCTCCTGGGAGAGGCGGGCTTGAGAACCACAGAAGGCGAAATGAAAGAGAATGTGGCAAATGGGGAGAAAACCAAGGATAGAGGGAGCAGGAGGAAAAGAAGGGGAGGGGATGGGAAAAGAATGAAGATGCGTCACGGACACAAGGAGTGTGTGACATGTGTCTAGATGTCCCCTGAAGCCTCATGCGACTGTAAGTGGGGCTTTTCAGAGGTGGCTGGGTCTAGGGCTTGTGATGCTGGGACTATGGATGTGATGTTGCAGCCTAGAGAATTTCCTGCTTGGGGACCAGGTCTCATGCAGAAACAAAGCCGTGCTAACTCTGCTCTCCACGCCCCTGCCAACAAACCTGGCACCCCAGGTCATCTTCAGAGAGCAAAAGCAGTAGGAACACGAAAGATGCCTGGCAAGATGGGCTAACATGGTGCACACAGCGCAGGGACATGCCACCCCACTGTACTGCACAAGAGTGCTGTCGGAATGCAGGGGGTAGGGGCAGACCGCCTGGGGATGAGTCTTGGTACCACCTGAGACAGACAGCATCTGAGTGTCGCAGTTGCCTCCTTGCCAAAGTGAGATTCCACCCATTCAGTGCCCAGACCAATGCCCAGCACTCGGGGAGCTCTAGGTAAATGTGAGCCATTTCGCTTTGAGTCTTACTTTTAAAAGGATTTAACGAAATCAGACAATTGTTTCCGCTGTGATGCAGAGTGAGAACAGGCAAGACACAGCCATGCACACGGCATGAAACGTGAGCACAGTTGTACACGCAGAGGCACAAACGCATAGCTCAAGGCTGGGATGCACACGGCAGTCAGTGGCCACCACATGGGCTCTGCAGCTCAGTGGTGGGAAGCTTTTCACTTAAGCTTTTTGTTTTTATATTCAGATTTCTGCCCTTTTAGGCAAACTTTTCTGTACAGAGCCAGAAAAATCTGTTGGATGTCACAGACCATGCAAGGTCTCTGTCATATACCCTTCACTGACTTGGGCTGCTGTTTTACAGCCCTTTTAAAATGTAAAACCTGTTCTTAACTCGTGGGGCTGTATAAAAACAGGCAGGATCAGCAGGGCCCATGGACCCTTGTTTGATAACTGCTGCTATGAAGAACAGGAGATCGTTCAGGGGCTGAACCACTGAAAGGTGCTTTCCACCACTCCTCCTACAGGCCGGGCCTGCCCAGCCTTCACAGCTGCAGAAGCAGAGGGCAGGGCCAGCGGGGGAGGCTGCAGTCAGCTGAGTGATGTGGTCCCCATCATCCAGCTCCAAGTCCTCTCCCCAGAACCTGTGGACACAGCCTCATTGGGAAGGGCTTTGCTCTTAGGACATTATCTTGGTTTATCTGCAGGGGTTCTAAGTCCAGTGACATTTGGGCAAGCCCTAGATCTAATGGCCAGCATCCCAGGGTAAAAGAGGAGATGGCAGGACCCTAGGAAAAAGGCCATGCAAAGTTGGAGCAGGATTTAAGTGATTCGTCTATAACCCAAAGAACACTTGGAACCACTGGAAGCTGGACCAAGCAAAGAAGGATCCTCCCCTCAGGACTAGGAGGGAGCACGGCCCTGCCCACACACCTTGATTTGGACCTCTGGCCTCCAGAACCATGGCAAAATTTACACCTCTTCTTTTGAGGCACCAATCAATGGTAATTTCTTCTGGCAGCCACAGGAATGTAATCCCAACCCCAAACAGTACCCAAGCCACAGCCTAGAACAAGGCACCACTGTGGCACAGCAGGGCCCAGCTGCAAGGACACAAGTCGGGGACAGAGTGAGTCACCTCTGTTCTCTACTGCCCAGCCACATGCCTGAGACAGATGACCTCAGGTGACCCACGAACTGCCAAGCTGAGAGCTATTTACCAACTTCTGGGGAACCCCGTGTTTCACTGGCGAGAGGGATACGGATGCTGAGCTCAGAAACCTGCTCCTACACAGCTGTCAGGCTTCTCTCAAACGCCAGGTGTCCAAACAGCACATGCAGGCTTTCGGCACACAGGTTGAACAAGCCACCCCTCTTCCAGAGAAAGACAAAAGCCAGGCTCAACTGGATCTCGTATGCCAGGGCTGCTCGGCTTCTCCCAAGGCAGTGATAGGTACCTCTTTAGAAAGACGGACTGCTCTGTAGACCTAGTTTGGTAGTCATAAGTTGCTAGAGTTGTTCTTTGTCATGGAAGTATATTATTTCTCCATTAATTGCAAGAGATAGTTCTGTAGGGTACATCAATCTGGGTTGGAAGTTGTTTTCTTTCTGGACTTGAAATATTTTACTCCAAGCTCTCCTTGCCTTTAGGATTTGTGTTGAAAAGCCTGCTGATTTTGATGGGCTTTCTTTTATAGGTGATTTGTTTCTTTTCTTTAATAGCTTTTAATATTCTGCTCCTGTACTGAATCTCTGGAATCTTATTACATGCCTCATGTAGATTTATTTTGGTGGTGGCTAATTGGATTTCTAGATGCCTCACTTAGCTGTATATCAAATTCTTTTTCTATGCTTGGTTGGTTTTCTGCCAGTACTTCTCTGAACCATTTTCTTCTCACTTATGCTGATTCCTGCTTCTTCACTGACTCTGATCAATCTTATGTTGTTCTCTGCATCACCTTGTAGCTGTTGGGTTATCTTCTTGGGGTCCCTTGGTAATCTTAGGAGATTTTGCTTCATGATCACTAAGTGTGATCACTAACTGTTTCTAGGTCTGATATCCTGTCTTCACTTTCATGCACTCAATTTGACAAACCTTAATGGAAGTTTCAACTTCCTAGATATCTGTTTGAATCTGTTTCATGGTTCCATTTCTTTCCTATGTTGGGCATTCATGGTTCCCATCATTTTCCTATGACCTGCTATTGATTTTTAATCTATATCTACTCTAGATTTGCTAAGCAAGTCCTTCATTATAGTCATCATTTCTTTTTTTTATTTGAGAGATTATTCCTGCTCTGATCTCCTCTATGGCCTCATGCATCTAGTTTTTTACTTCTGCTGTTACCATTTCAAAAATTTAAGTGAGCAGCTTCTGCTTTGCTTACTGTCTCCTGAATTTGTTCTGAGCAGGCTGGAGGCTTGGGATTGCATTTTGTTTCTGTGTCTTATTATTTTCTATTTTTAAAAATTTAATCCATTTGCTGTGTTGTTGCTTGCGTTTTTCTTATGTTAGGTAGCTTTATCCTCATATGGAGCCTCACCCAGGAAGCGCCTGTTCCTCACAGATATCTTCTAGATGCAGCTGGCTCTTGGTCTTTGAGTCTGTCCCAAGACCCCACCTCCCCACTCTATTGGGGTGCTACCCCTCTAGCTGAGCACCCAGTGCCCTGTAATGGACTAAGGGGACAGTTGTGACCCCAGACAATCACAGCGTCATCATACAAGAGTGAACAACTGCCTATCAAAGGTCTAGCAACATGCCTAATGTGGTGTAATAAGCAGCACAACACCATTGAGCACAGCCAGAAGCTGACACGCATGGTAACTGCTAACCATGGTTGGCATCCCCAACCATCACAGCAAGGTCTGTCGATATATAACAACATCCAAAATAAAGAGGAACCGAAACAGATCAGACCAGCCAAATTTAAAGACACAATCCAAAAATGGGCATCTGGGATGAAAACACAATTCTCAAGTGAAGTACAAGATGACAAATAAATACACCAAAAACTGTTCAACATCACTGGGCATTTGAGAGATGCAAATTAAAACAACACTGAGATTGCATCTCACTTAAAAAAGAATGGGTATTACAAAGAAATCAAACAATAACAAATGCAATGGGGAAGTGTGGGGGAAAAAGAATCTTGCTCCACTGTTGGTGGGAGTGTAGACTGGTGCAACCACTGTAGAAATCAGTGTGGAAATTCCTCAAAAAACTAGGATCACAGGTTCCATTTGACCCCGATAATTCCCTTCTGGGTATCTTTCCAAAAGAATTAAAAGCATCGGGGCTGGGGATTTAGCTCAGTGGCATAAGCGCCTGCCTTGCAAGTGTGTGGTTGTGAGTTCGATCCCTGGTACCGATAAAAAAAAGACAAAAAAAGAATTAAAAGCATCATACCACGGCAATCCATACACACCCATGATTATATGGCCACCGTTTATAACAGCTAAATCTTGGAAACAATTCAAATGCCCATCAGTCAATCAACAGAAAGAAGACCAGAAATTTTTTTTATACACAATGGAGTGCTATCCTGCCATAAAGAGGGATAAGCTTGAGACATTTATGGCTAAATGAATGGACCTTGAGAACATACTCTTAAGCAAATTAAATCACACACATATGTAAATGTCACATGGTCTCTCTGGCATGAGAAACTGAAAGTGTAAATAAGAATCAATATATAACGGATACTGTGAAATAAGAAAAATGGTTTAAAAAGCAAAGGGAAACTAAAGAGGGGGAGGGAGAAAGAAGGAAAGGAAAAATGAGAAAAGAAGGGTAAAATGGAAACAAAGCTCTGTAAGTAAGGAAGGGAAAACAGGGTGAAGAGAAGGGAGGGAAGGGAAGGGAAAAAAGAGGAATAAAAAATACATCACATATAGATAAAAATTCCCTATGATGAATGTGATCACTATGTGTATCTGAATTGTACCAATAATTTAATTAGAGAGAGAGAGACAGAGACAGAGATGGAGACGGAGAGAGAGACAGAAAGTGAGCTGCTCCAACCAGCACAGGCCAGCCCTGGGGACGCTCGGTACCCAGCATTCTCAGAACCGAGCACCCACACTGAGCACCATCTGCAGCCAGCCCATGGCCACTCCTTCTATACTCCTCCCGGCCCACCTGACAGGCACTGTCAGACATGGACAGATGAGTGAGGAGTAGGAACACTGGGTTCCAGTTTGCCTGACCCCAGATCTGTGGAGGGGAGACTATCACCTAGCAGACTACAGATCTGCACCCTGACATCACCACCATCTGGGAACCACTCTTTCTGCAAACCCCGCTGTTCCACTCAGCCCAGGACCTCTTGCAGCACTACAGACAGCTCTCTACCATAACAGGGCTCCTTTCTCATCTGAGAGGATTCTTTGTAAGACTATGCTGCTCTGGAACACAAGAACTATGTCATGTTTTACTCAGTATCTACAGGGCCGACCCTAGTGACCTGAGAAACAGTAGATGATCAATAGGATCTGCTAAATCAATCCAGGAGAGATAGATGGATGGTTGAGTGGGTTGGTAGGTGGGTAAAAAAATGGATGGGTGGGTGCATGGGTGGTTAGGTGGAGGAATAGGTAGGTGGATGTTTGGGTGGTGGGTAAGTGAACAGGTGGACAGGTGGATGGATGGATGGATGTGTAGATGGATTGATGAATGCATGGATGGATGCATGCATGGATGGATTGATGGATGGATGGAAAGATAGATGGATGGATGGACGGAAAGACGGATGGATGGATGGATGGATGGATGGATGGATGGATGAATGGATGGATAGATGATGGATGGATGGATAGATGAATGGAAAGATAGATGGATGGATGGATGGATGGATGGATGGATGGAAAGACAGAGGATGGATGGATGGATGGATGGAAAGACGGATGGATAGATGGATGGAAAGATGGATGGATAGGTGGATGGATGGATGGATGGATGGATGGATGGATGGATGAATGGAAAGATGGATGGATGGATGGAAAGATGGATGGATGGATGAATGGATGGATGGAAAGATGGATGGATGGGTGGATGAATGGATGGATGGATAGATGATAGATGGATGGATGGATGGATGGAAAGACAGAGGATGGATGGATGGATGGAAAGACAGAGGATGGATGGATGGATGGAAAGACGGATGGATAGATGGATGGAAAGATGGATGGATGGATGGATGGATGGATGGATGGATGGATGGATAGATGGAAAGACGGATGGATGGATGGATGGATGGATGGATGGATGGGTACGTAAGTGGATAGATGGGTGGATGGATGGATAGATGGGTAGATGGATAAATGAATCTCTGAGGAGAAGTGAGGCACTGAATGCCTTCAGAGCTGTCTTACCCTCTCACTAACACGTTTCAGCAACTCTTCGGCTTCCTCCATCGCCAGCATCTCCTTCTGGTACTGGTTTTCTGTCTTCTTTCTTGTTTCCAGGTCACATTCAGCTGTCAGCGCCAACATCTTCCGATCACACTCTTCTTGTACTTCATTTTCCAGCAGCAGAAACTGCTTTTTCAAAACAGAACCTATCCTCCTCTCCACCTGGGGGGAGAGGTGCCCTCCACAGGTCAGGCTTCTCAGCAGAAAGCCGATGATATCCTTGCTGATTTGGGTTCGACAAGCCTCCAGATCTGCATCTGCCCGGTTCAGGGTTGCAATCTCCAACCTGGGAAACACAGAGGTCAAAAGAATGCTCTTCTACAAAACCACAGAGAAACCAGCATCCCTCAGAGCTTCACCTCGCAGGTTAGGCCTTTCTTTCTTCCTTCCCTTCTTTCTCTCTTAGCCTCTGTCCCTTCTGCTCCATCCAGTTAGCAAAGGCAAGTCACTAAATCAGCAGATTTTCACTGAATAAACGAGTAAGGTAAGATACCAGTAACAATGGGGTCAGAACTAATTAAAACGTGATCTTTGCCAACAAGTCAACAATAAGACCAAGAAGGGAGAGGAGAGCTAATAGATTTGAAGGATTTAAAAATAAAGTTTAATTTAGTACATTACAGCCAGGCATGGTGGCTCACTCCTATAATCCCAGCACTCGGGAGACTGAGGCAGGAGGATTGTTGCAAGTTCAAGACCAGCCTGGGCTACAAAGTGAGCCCAAGGCCAGCCTGAACAACATAGTGAGATCCTGTCTCAAAAAGACAAAAATAAAATAAAATAGTAAAATAGAATAAAATGTACATTACAGATGGTAACTAAATGTAATATATCCTGGAGCAGAAAATTAAAAAAAGAATCACACTAAAACCCAGGGAAATCTAAACAAACCATGACATGCACCATTTAGGTATGGGTCTAAAATGTCCCCCAACATTCATCCACTGACAAGCTCACAGCGTTAGGAGCAGAGTCTGTGTGTAGGAAGTGGGGTGTGCCCTCAGGGGACGCCCCGTGCAGGCCCCTTCCTCTCTCTCTGGCTCTCCTCCTGTTCTCTCTGAGCAGCTGGCTGCCATGACTCCAACAGCCTTCCTCTTCTACACCGACCACCGACTGAGCCTCTGAAACCACAGACCAACCCTTCCTCATCCAAATTGTGTACATCAGATATCTTGTCCCAGCCAGGGAAAGCTAGCCAATAAATGTACCTTATTAATATGAAATGTTAGTACTAGGGAAACATGGATATAGGACATATGGGAGTTCTGTGTTATTTTCTTGCAAATTCAATACTGATCTAAAAATAAAGTATACTTGAAAAATATTTGTGAGATTCTTCACAGGGTCCCAGCATCTAAAACAGTTGTGACGGTGGTGGTGTGATTATTTTCTGCCTGTAACAAACACCAGACTATACTCGTCAAAAGGTGAGACTTACAATATGTTAATTAGACTTCTATAAAAGCTAGAATAAATTTATGTTCATGATTTTTGACATCTTTTTTTTTTTTTGGTCTTTTAAAAAAAGTATTGGTACCAGGGATTGAACTCATGACTGCCTGCTTACAAGGCAAGCGCTTATGCCGCTGAGCTAAATCCCCAGCCACTGTTCATGATTTTTAAAATCAAGAAAATAAGGAATTCAGAGAAAGACTTCATTCACTATGGGTCCACCACTGAATTACAACCGGTGATGGAATTTTTGCTATATTTTTCCAGGATTTCTTTCATGCATATATTTTCCATAAATGTTCACTATGTGTATGGCAGAAAGTATAATTATAGCCTCGTTTTTTCAATTAATGTAACAGGTGTCTTTAAAACTATGTATCTCCTTTATAATGTGTGCAAGATGCTCTCCATCTGATACACCACTGTTCAATTAACTGTTCTTCCACTGTGCCTTCAGGGCACTTGCAAATTTCAAAATCTAGAATAACCATGAAGTACGCATCATTGTACAGAGCTTTTGACAGTCACAATAATTTCCTCTGTACAGAAGCCCACAAAGGAATCACAGGGTCAAATATTAGCACCATTTTGAAGTCCTTTGATAAGCAAATTGCTTTCTGGAAGAACTACCCAGCAATGCGTTTGATCTTCCTCTATCCTGCTCTCTACACAGGAAAAAGCCTTTGCTGAACTGATAGGAGAAAATGGCATCTACCTGCAAAAATATAAGTCTTCAAAGAAAATTTTACAGACAGTTGAAGCACTTTAAAGTAGAGATAATTTTATGACTCTAACATTACCTAGTTTAAAACTGGCCACTGCTCTTATTTTATCCATTTCCTTCTATGCATTCTGGAGCATTTTAAAGCAAATTGACAACCTTACCTACAAATTCCTCAATGTGCATCTGTAACTGTCCGGGAGGGAGAGACAGGTAAGTAGCAGACAGACACACAGAGAAAGAGAACAGATGCGCACGTTTCCCCGTCTCTCAGTCTATTTGTATTTATCTAATCCTGCTGCTAAGGGCATCAGAACGAACACATCTCCTCCAGGTGTGCTGCTCCCGCGTACTGACTATTCTAGGTTAAAGGCACTTCAAAAATAAATGCGAGCATGTACAAGATCAGGCTGACTTCTATGCTGCGTCTTAAGAGCAGGAGGCAAAATCATCACATGAAATTCGGCCTTGCCATGCCCGCAGGAAACTGATCTCAACCACCAAGCTTGGAAGGCTGAGAGCATGAGAATCCTGTGCAAACAGACCTTTTTAAAAGAATTCACACCCTTCCTGAACGTCCCCACAGCACTTAGGTGCTTTTCAGTGCCTTGCTATTCTCTGTCTAGTTCACTGTGTTCAACTTTGGTTGCTTCTCTGAGCCTTCATTTCCCTGTGCTGGCTCCCACCATATGGAAGGCTTATACTAAACTCGTATGCCTTCCTGAAACTATCACACGTCAGCTTATCTCAGGCTTAGTGCAGGACCCTAAGAGAATAGAGGTGGGCTTAGCGTGGTGGCACATACCGGAGTAACCCAGGCTGAGGAGGCTGAGTCAGGACTACTGCAAGTTTAAGCCCAGCCTGGGACACTCTGTCTCAAAAGAAAGACAGGCGAGGAAGGGGAGGGAAGGGGAAGAAGAGAAAAAAAGAAAAAAAGGAGGCCAAAACGTAGCTCAGTGTGAAAGCCGTGAGCTTTTTACCCACTCAGGGTAAAAGCCAAAACAAATGAAACAGCCACATTACAGGTTGAGAAACAAAATGACATATGAGACCACACGTTTTAACCTCCACACTCATGTTCACATTCAGTTCCACGGCAGGAGTGGTGAACGGAACTACGGTTGCTCATCAGGCGACCCTGACATCAGGAGGTGAACAGCAAGGGCTTTAAAACCACAAGAGGAGGTAGAAGAGGCGTCGGGTCCAAGGCGGCGAGAGGAAGGAGCCAGAGAAAGGCACTTGTCAGCTGTGGGCCAGAGCAAAGGGCCCAGCAGCCCCAGAGCGGGAAGACGCAAGGAAGAGGGGCCCCTAGAGTTGACACCATGACGTCCGCCTGTAGAGATCACTTCCCACCTGAGCTTCCAGAACTGTAAGCCTCCGAGTTTGCGGCCATTTATTACAAGGATGGGAGGGTGGACACCTCCCCAGCCCGCCCTCTGTGCACGTATTAACTTCCACAGGACAGCACGGCACCTGTGCGGGGCAAACCGCATATTTCCCGGGCATTTGTGGTTTGCTGCCAACCACTTAGCAGCTGAGGAATCTCAGGACCGGACTTAGTCTCTACACAGCACAACGGGCAGCCGGCCTCCTGAGTACTGTGCAGGGCTTAACATGTAGACTGCACAGCGCAGCCTGCCGTCCCGTGGACCCTACATAACAGTCTCCACCGTCCTTTGCTCCCCCAAGACACCAGGAGAACAATCACAGCCCACAGCTGGCCTTCTCCTCGTTCTGGGAGGCCCCCCAGAGCCACCTGCACCCTAACAGTCCAAGCATCAGTCATGGTGGCTGCACCATCAGAAGTAACAACAAGGAAACTGCCCATACCCCAGAGCCACCTAAGGAAGAAACCGTCCCTGTACATTGATTGAAATGCCAGGCTGTTAGTGAAGGTCTCACCTGTGTATTTTTCAAACGGCCTCAGAAGAAGAAAAGAAATACTAAGGATTCAGCACCTGCATACAAGGTTAGGTCCACGGGCCAAGAGGCAACTTCCCACCACCACACCGGGCGGGGCACTATTTAATTACGGTGAAGTATGATCTGGTCAAAAATACGGTGAATGTTTATATTTGAAATTTTAGAAGATCTGTTACACTGGAAGACACAGTGCCAATAATCCCCGAGCACTCTCCCTCTCGCTCCAGCTGCACTGGCCCATGGTCCCTGCCACTGTCTGAAGCAGCCCTGGATACCCCCTGTCATGAGTGTCTTGGTGGCACTGTCAGGGCTGCCTCGATGCCCTAATCAATTCAAAACATTTACATTTCAGGGTTATTTGGACTTTGAAAAAGAGCCAGAGGTCACACCACACCAGATCCAGGAGTGAGACGGTGAGGACAAACCACCTTGGCGAAACTGCTGTTGAAGCTTTAAAGTGATTCAGACATCAAGGCAGCCATGACAGTGCAACTGAAGACACTCATGACGGAGGACCTCAGAGCTGCTGCAGAAAACGGCAAGATAATCGGGTAAGTGTTCTTGAAGCAAGGAGGGTGGTCTGAGGGGGATAATGTCACTGTGTCCAGTACTGTGATAAGTTTTTAAAAATATAAACACCGCCATATTCTGAGGACACCTCACACACATACATCCAAGTTGAGAACTTTCACAGTGTACAGTGTAAGACTCTCTTTGTTGGCCTACAAATGAATCTGACTTACGAATGAATCTGGCTTTCGGACAATTTGCCCAGAGCAGAACTCATTCGTAAACTGGGGACTTACTGTATTTGTCCATCACCCCCAAAAGTACCTAAAGACACCAAAAGGCAGACTGGGACATTCTGAGCCACAAGCCTTGGGGTCTGATTCTTAAACTTATTTACTGTTTCAAAAACTCACAGAGCTGGCAGTGTTCATACCCGGCATTCCCAGGGAAATTTCTATCGTTTTTTTTTCCAGGCACAAACATGTCATCCTGTCCCTGCACTTTGAAGACAAACATATTTGCTCAACCCAGGTTTGTGCATATACGAACTGCACAAGGGCTGTCCGTCCCTCTTGCCAATGACTGAATTCACACAAGCGTTCAAGCCCATTCCAGCATGCAGACTGCACTTCCTAAGTGTCGATACTAAATTGATGATTAAAGTCTCCCACAGTAAGATC